TGTCCCTTCTCCAACCTTATATTTACCCACAAGTGTACCTCTCATCACTCATCAAAGAAAGTTGCAGACAGACGAGGGAATCTAAATACCATCAAATTATATTGTATGAAATTTACAAATATTCAATAAAATTTTTAAAAATAATAATCAGAAAGAGCACAAAAATAAAAGTAAAAGCTTAATACTAGAGTTGGAGAGATGGCTTAGCAGTTAAGAGCACTGGCTACTCTTGCAGATTCCCAGCACCCATACAGTGGCCCCCTTCTGACTTCTGTGGGCACTGCATGCATGTAGTGCACTTATATACATCCAGGCAAAGTACCCATACACATAAAATAAAAATTAAATAAATAATTTAAAATCTAATACTTCTACCAATTTTAGTAAAAGCAATTTCAAATTCTGAAAGCTCAGTAAACCCCATGCAGGCTATCTATTAGTAAAACATGTTTGTGCACATCATAGCCAAGATGTGAAAATCCAAAAGAAACTTGAGAACAGTCTTAGGATCAAGTTAAATACGGGGGACCAACTTTCCAGTATCAGAATGATTTTCAGATTAAATATGAATAAATAATCTACATATTAGTTATGAGTTATTCCTAGAATACACTTACATAAAAACTCTGAAATTTAAATGAAAATAATGTTACTTTTGTTATGTAAATACTAGACATATTTTTAAAAATTACTAGAAATAGGGTCACTATATAATGCTAAAATGTCCAATGCATCAGGAAAACATAAAAATTCTTAATTTTAAAGCATTTAACATTGCAGCCTCAAATATACAATGTAAAGTATAAAAAAACTGTGTGAATATTTATGTTTGATATTGTAATGTTCCATTTTAACAGTTTTTAAGCAGTTACTATATTAAGAAAATAATAGCCTGATCAAAAGAGAATTTGAATATTCCTGCAACAAATAAATCCATAAAATGAAGCACAGTATTCAACATTAGATAGTACAAATTCTTCTTAGGCACACACTGAAAAAATATAAACAGGTTCTCCTGACAGAAAATGAAACCCACCTCAGTTGATTTCAAAGAACTGCTATCATTCAGAGTGAATCACTACAATGCGATCAAGTTGCAGAGCAATGTAAAAACAAACAAGTAGAGAAACACCATGTAGCTAGAAATTTAAAATACTCCAAAGTAAAAGTCTGAATGCCAGGGATGGTCTCTTTTTGAGGTTGTTGACCAGGGCTCTCAGAGACCATCAAACAATATTGGCTATTGCCTCTGCTCTTCATTACCCACCAAAGCTTTATCATAATACTCAATTGCTGAAGACATGGCATATATATGCCATAGAACAAACAAGGAGAAATCAAGCTTGTGCTGATTTCAAAACTTCTCTACTGGCTAGCTTTTGTAGTACTGGAAGGTGCTATGCATGTTACCAGAAGAGCAAAGTAATCATTACCCAGCTGTGAATCCTACATGCTTCAACAACAAAAGGCTTGGCAAGATAGGGCCTTTGGTGCAATAGTGGCATGAATATTATGGAGTAACCAATCACTTTCTAATTGGATTTAAGGTCTGCTTCATAGGAGGCAGCCCATACCTGATACTGATATCAGGCCTAGGAACATGTGGCTAGGCAGGCCACAGGCCATAGGGGAGAGCCCAATACTGTTATTCTGCTAAATAGATGCAGTATTAAAGTGACTTCTAATAGATTAATGCTTCTATCAGCTCTCACCAGAGAAGCCTCCTTATGTAGTAGATGGTGATTAACACAGAAACCCACAGCCAGCCAACTTCCAAGAGGAGAAGAGACTGTAGAGTGATGATCTCCAAACTGGATCCCTGTATCAAACTTCTGTCTCCCAAGGCTCAGGGATCATTGCAGAAGAGGTGGTGGAAAGATTGGAAGAGCCAGAGGTGGTGGATGATCACAAGGCAACAGGGTTTTCCAGGCAGCTGAGAAGTTACTCATATGAAATCAGAGAAATGGTGACAACATGCACAAATATTATGTAAGCTTGAGTCAGACAAAATCCCAGCACATGGGTAAATTGGTAAGAAACCCCAATTCAACTGAGGAACTATCAGAAACCAACGACTGCTGGGAAGAAGAGAATTGGCCTCATTTAAGGATGTGATGTTTGTGAGGTTAACCAGGCTCTAGTAGATGTATCTGCACCAACATTTGGAGATACAAATTTGACTGTATAGGCATATATAATAGAGCACATGAAATTGGGCAGGGGGTAATAAGGGAGATGCAGACAGGGGAGGAATATATGACCAAAATAATTCTGTATGAAATTTGCAAAAATTCAATTAAAAAAGGAAAAAATTATTTCCAAACAACTCATGGAACTAAGGAAATATATGGAAAATCCAATGGTCAAAGAACAGTGAAAATACCTGACCAATATTTTGTAGTTTTCAGACACAAACTTAACGTAAGAGCTTCATTAAAAGGCTCCTGTATTGGGGGTGGGGGACTGGAGAAATGACTCAGCAGTTATGAACATTAGCTGCTCTTTCAGAGAACCTGGGCTCAGTTCCCAGCACTAACATGGCAGCTAACAACCATCTGTAACTACAGATCCAGGGAATCCAACACCTTCTTCTGACCTCTGTGGGCATTGCACAACACAAGTGTACTTACATACACACAGACAATATACTCATACACATAAAATAAAGTAAAAATAATAACTAAAATATTTTAAAAAGTTCCTGGTAGGTCAACTATACTTCAGGACTGGTTCCAGTCTCAAGAAAAATTGGGCAATACAAATTGAACTTGATAGAAAAAAAATAAAAAGAAAGAATACTAAATTGGTTAGATAAGGAGGCAGGGGTAAATCTGGAGGAGATGAGGGAAAGGGAATATGATCAAAATACATTATATGAAACTCTCAAAGAATCAGTAAAAAAAAAATTAAAAAAAAAGTTAGCTGTTTTCTCCAAGAAACACACCTAAGTGGCAAAGACACTTACAAACTGGGAGCTGAAGGATAGAAATCATCCTAACAAGCAAACAGAAGCCCCAAACAAGCCAGCAT